GTAGCCGTGGGCCACCACCTGCGAAGGGCACATAAATAAATTGTTTAATTGAATCTGAAAGTGATTTTTAGGCCCGAATCCGGCCTGAATCCTGAAACTGAAAGATTTCTGTCACGCGCCTATCACGCTTGGTCTAACTGTACGTGCCGCAGTCGCCGCGAACCCCGAGCCGTGTCCCCTGTCTGAGCTACACTTACTAATTTAGAACCCTTGACCCTGCCCGACGACGCCAAAAACTGTACATGCCTACGTTGCACCGTGACATGTATACTTGGCATGCCCGACGTCGCCGACAACTTATATCTACCTTGGCGGTGTTGACATTATGTGACCTTGAGCCTTGTTGCCGATCAGGGCCTGGTGATCCGCATGCAACGAAGCCATGAAGCCAAGCCCTTGGTTTGACAAGCCAAGCCACTCCGTTGTAGACCGGTTACATGTATAATTCTTTGATTGTTTTTATTTTCCTTTGAGAGTTCACTAAATCATGATCATTTTGTATTCCGCTTCTGACAAGGAGGTATCCCCATCGCACGAGAAGTTCATTTTATTGTGTTCCGGTGAGAGTTACTTTATATGCCACGGACAGTGCCAGAAAGTCTGGAAACCCTTCCCATCAGCGGTGGAGTAGTCCACACCTATATTCAGGTCCGCAAAGCGCAAAAACGTGCAGAGTACCATGCCCTCCGCGCGCGTGAGCGTGCACAACTTCAGAATTTCTGCCTTGCTACAGCCGCGCCCGTACATCGGCTCGCATCCCCAGCGCCTCATTTCCGGGTCGTCGTCCTCGTATGAGAAGTGCCGACCGGATTCCAGCGCCCGCACCTCCGCCTCGCTGCGTTCTCGAATTCTTACGCAGGGCGTGTCGTAGCCCGGGGCGAACTTGGATGTGATGCGCCCGGGCCTGCTGAGGGCGGCGTGGAGCGATTTGGCGGCGGTGTCGATGAGCGAGGCGGTCGCGGCGCGCTCTGGGTCGGTTTCGGTGTTATCGAGTGGAGGAAGATAGTACCTCAGGCTGTCGAGGTATAAATCCGGGTCGCTGAACCGGTCGATGATCGCGCCGCGTGCGGCGGCGTAGCTGCGGAGACCTGTGTCGAGTTCGCCGGAAACGATGCGGTTGAGGATGAGCTGGACGTCGTTTTTGTCTTCGAAAGGTACGTGTGCGCGGAGGGTTCCTGTGATGATCTCTATCCGTCATGTAGAGCACAGAAACAAGAAAAAGAACAAAATCGTCAGCACCGGACGGGCATAAGATTGGAGCAACGACAGATACCGAGGGCGCTTAGAGGGTTCATGTTGGCTCTTGCGCAAGTGACTTCGACCAGGGCGCACCCCAGGTCAAACTGAAAGTCGGAAAATCAGCACATTTTAAGAAGGGATTTGATTCCAGGGAAATCACCTGGAGACGTGTTTGTAGTACAGCGGCTTCAAGGCGTTCGTCCAATCTCGCTTTTTGTTCTTTCCGTAGTTCGTTGTAACTCACTTTTCGCTGCTGCTGTAGCAATTCGCTGTAATACTCTCTGCTTGCTCGAAGGTCGGTGATAGGACAGTGTGAGTCATTCCTTGCACACCTGGAATCAAAGTTATCAAACTGAACTGCTTGTCCGGCCCGCTCCACGAAAGGCCGAGCTGTAGTATAAGCCCGAGCTGCAAGGTTGCGGAGCATTGGTGGCAGTTCGAGAGGGAGGTGGATAGGAGGCTGAGGTCAGCACAGGTGGCTATGAAAGGAAAGTGATGCGCGTCTGACATCATTTGTAGTGCGTAACTTTCGCGACGAACGGGGATTCGCCGATTCTGGCTCGATACTGATGTCAGTGAATACCGAATACTGAGCGGAGTTTGAATGACGTAAGCAGTCATTTGATGTGCGCGAGTTCGATTTCGACAGAGCACATTCTTATTCTCCATCTACATCTTTTTTTTAAACTGAGATTTGTCAATGAGACCTCGAGGGACTGAACATGGTTATAAAAGCATTTTGAAGCATTGATGATAACATTGGAGAGGCTGGAGCTCTTAAATCTCTATACTGATGGGTTTTCTAGTTGAATAATCTTAGCTCATTTCTCTGGCTACTAGAAGCCTGAATGGCAATATAGAGACTTAAATAGTTGACTGACAAGTCAGATGCATTGTTGAGCAGTGATTGCAGGACTTGGTTGACACAAAAATGGTTCAATGGACCTACTTGATTTCCAAAATCCAGTGTTGGCAATGAAGGGTTATGGACCTGCCCTCTGGACCTTAAGGGTTAATAAGCCTTAAGGCTTAATCTTAAGGGCAACCCTGATGTCCTTAATTTCCTTTTTGGGAAATAATTTCCTACGGTCCATTTCGCATCGCTTGAGACATACAATCGAAGAACAAGCAAATTCAGGGTACATAAACATTCGTCGTCGTCACACTCAGTCACTCCATCATCCAAACGACCATCCTCCTCTGCATCTGCAAGTTCATTCATGAGTTCGGCCTTGGCTCCAGCGTAAACTTCCAAACATTGGTCTTGCCCTGGTAAAAGCGACCACATTCAGGCTTCATGGTGGGCAGACTTGAAAATTTTCATGAAACGGTGATCCCCGCCCGAGCGTTCGGCTATTACCGGCGCCGGCGGCCCGAGGTCTTAAGCCCTTAACGTCCAGCCGGCCATCCAATTAAGGTTTATGATAAGCCCTTATTAAGGCTTAACACAATTAAGCCCTTAACCCTTACGGCCAACACTGCCAAAATCACAGTGCAACATGGGAGTTAATGCTTTCTGAGGTCAACAACAATGAAGGGTGGCAGCAGGTATCTTGCTTCATGTAAATCCACCTTGAAATGCCCAAGAATTGGAAGTCTTCCCGATTAGGGTGGAATTCAGACTCCGCTCAGTATCTGAAACTCCGCTAGGTATCGGGGAGTTTCCACAGGCCGCGCGCAGCGCGAGTGAAAATCTGAAAATATTTGAGGGGCTTTTAACGGAATTTTATATGTTCTAGGCTTTTTTTCGGAGTTTCCAGAGGCATGTGTGGTATCTTTGATGCTTTTTTCAGTATCGGAATCAGTGGCGCTGTTTGGCAACAGGCTCTGATGGGCCGGGATCTGCCGAAGTAGACTAGTGGACTCAAATGCAACTGAAAGTGAATTCCCGAGATCCCCAGTACCTCTTGGATCAAATTGAAGAATTCTCCTCTTTCTTCTCCTCTTTTCCATAATAAATAGTTTCTTTATTTCTCTAATTTCGTAATTTCTCCCCACCGACACCAGTATCGAGCCCCGATTCTCCCCCAAAGCATTGTGTTCTGCCTCTATAAGGTCACTCTTCTGAAATCCTCGCCTCACAAGGCGATGCCGATTGTGGACCGGACTTGCGGAGCATGCGCCGCCTCAAACGCCTGAAGATCCGGTCAACGCTGTCCGACATTCCGAAGATGTTGCGGCGCATCCTACCCCAGTTGCAGCTATCCCCCGCCCGCCACACCCTCGAGTCGATCATCCTGAACTTCTTCTGCACCACCGGCTACGACGCGCAAATGTGGATTTCTGTTGACGAGATGCTCGCGGATGTCGCGACCTACCCCTGTCTGCGCACCATCGTGATCTCGACTTCGATAGATTCGTTCCTGGACTACTCCCTCAGCAGTATGGCACAGCATTGCAACAACATGCCATTTGCGCTGGCGCTGCATGAGCACCTCCGGCAGTGCAGCGACCGCGGCTTGTTACGGGTCGACATACCGATAACCCTACCAGTACTATACTAGCTTTGATTAGGGAACGGCACGGGTAAACCCGCGGGTGTCCTGAGTTCGACCCGTACCCGTACCCGTGGTGGCTGTGTACCCGTACCCGCGGGTACGGGTACGGGTTACCTGCGGGTTTAGCCCAGAGACCATGAATGACATGGTCAAGGAAAATGTAATTTCTACAGTTTTTTGTACAAACTATATCTTAAACAGTCTTATACATTGTTAAAACCAAATTCAATGGAGGACCAGCTGACAAAGGGCCTGCCATCATGCAGCCGTGCGGGTACCCGTGATACCCGCGGGTCAGCTGACGCCTACCCGTACCCGTACCCGCGCGGGTCAAACCCGTCTACCCGTGCGGGTACCGGCTACCCGTGCCGTTCCCTAGCTTTGATACGATGAGATAAACTCTTGTTTGTTCTTCCCGCATAGTATTGGGTAATTAATAGACTTTCTCGTACGTAGAAGGAGCTAGATTGATTTTTTTTGGACCCCAGAGGCAGGGACTGTGACTGGGGCTATGCCGGACTCGAAGAGTTGTCAAAAACCTGTCCTGTTTTTTTGCGCAAGACCCTCCAAAGGCCCTCGCCATAAAATAATGTTGAAAATCACAGCGCCGAGGGGGGTTTTGGAAGTATCTATCGGCGACATCGCGGCGGCAGATCTCACTGTAGGTGACCAAGCAAATGGCGTGTCTCCGCGCACAGAACACGTCCACGCTCGTTGCTGCGAATGTTCCGCATCTTTATTAAGGCCGCGCGTCGAATACCGAATTCTTCTGCACACCGACTATCGACGGGGACTTTGTCCAGGGTATACTCTTTTCAGGGAGGGAAATTCATTCGGGTGCGCAATAACCATATCCTCGTTCCACGGTGCCCGCCCGATTCATCCATCTCTCGTAGGTGCCCACGATCATTGGCGACGACGAAGACGAGGGCACTTTCTTCGCCGCCAATGCTAGCACCGCTGCCGCCGGCGTGACCTCCTCCTCACAGACAACCCGGAGCTTACGCCCGCCGACGACAAGCGCATCACGCAGCTGTACCCCCGCCGCGCGCCGCTCCCGGCTCACGCGGCGTTCTTCCCGTCTGCGGCGGCCGCGTACGGCGAGGGCACGGTATTTACATTATTTTTTACGAAGAATTGCTCATTTCGGTGTCAGACTGTCAGTAGTTATCAGTTTGAAAGCTCCATGTCATTTGAAATCGGGGTGTGAAACTTATGTAACGTACTCGCGGTGCGACAGAAATAACTGGAACCTCTTTGTGATGCTTTGGGGGGGAGTCGAACCCCCGGCGGGTCGAAAATCTGTTCAGGCAAGTCACTCAGATTGGCAACGACCCAGATTATCACTACCCCACCAAAGCAATACTACAAGCTTCCGGGTGTTAGTACAGTCCCCCAACTCCCTCATTTCTGTGAGACTGGCAGTAGTTATCAGGTTGGAAGCTCCTACACTTTTGGACTGGAATCGGGCGATGCATTAAATTTACATTATTGTTTACGAAGAATTGCTTATTTCGGTGTCGGCAGCTGTCAGTAGTTATCAGTTGGGAAGCTTCCACAGTTTTTGGACTGGAATCGGGGTCAGAATTAAATGAAATTTATGTAACTTGCGGTGTGACAAAAAATTGGGATGGCCCGCCATGCTTTGGGGGGGAATCGAACCCCCGGCGGGTCGAAAATGTGTTCCGCAAATTACCAGACGCCGTGATGGCAACGACCCAGGTTACCACTACCCCACCAAAGCAATACTACAAGCTTCCGGGTAGTACAGTACCAACTGTTGTCAGATCGGCAACTGCCAGTTATAAAGTTGGAAGCTCCCACACTTTTTGGTCAAAGTGAAATTTATGTAACGTACTTGCGGTGCGACAGAAAAAGGAGGAGCGATCCACCATGCTTTGGGCGGGAATCGAACCCCCGTCTTACTGAATGATGGCAACGACCCAGGAAGTTACCACTACTAGTAGCCCACCAAAGCAGTACTGCTAAATTCCGGGTGTTAGTAGCTACCGTCTACGGTGCCAGTCCCAACTCTCCACTCCACTGGAACACTTCCTGGAGTGAGTATCGCGAACGATCCACTATTGCAGTCAACTTGAGCCTCACACACACAGGCTCTTCTGGTTCTTTTTGCCGGCGGGATGACGGACTATGGGTTGACAGTAGAGGAGGGGGATCTGGAAGGCAATCCAAGATTCCATTCAAGGGTGGCTAGCCGCTGACCTCGAGTAGCTCTGCTTGGTACCTGTAGAATGCAGATTGTTTTCTTGGCGTCCGTGCCAGTGTTGGCTGTAGATTGTGAATTATTTTCTCGACAAGTCTCTCCGGCGGCATTCCGGCTTCGTTCCCGCCTTCCCCAGCTGCTCTAGATCTCTTCGACCTGGACCGGTTACGCTCAAGGTTCTCCTGAACCGACGATTCGACCCGCCGGGGGTTCGATTACCCCCTAATGCATGTACATATACTAATTCTTTGAATCTTTTTACTTCCTTTGAGGGTTCGCTGAATCATTTTGTATTCCGTTTCTGACAAGGAGGTATCCCCATCGCACGAGAAGTTCATTTTATTGTGTTCTCGTCGGCAAAAGTTACTTTATATGCCACGGACAGTGCCAGAAAGTCTGAAAACCCTTCCCATCAGCGGTGGAGTAATCCACACCTATATTCAGGTCCGCAAAGCGCAAAAACGTGCAGAGTGCCATGCCCTCCTCGCGCGTGAGCGTGCACAACTTGAGAATTTCTGCCTTGAGACAGCCGCGACTGTACATCGGCTCGCATCCCCAGCGCCTCATTTCCGGGTCGTCGTCCTCGTATGAGAAGACCCGATCGGATTCCAGCGCCCGCACCTCCGCCTCACTGCGTTCTCGGATTCTTACGCAGGGCGTGTCGTAGCCTGGGGCGAACTTGGATTTGATGCGCCCGGGCCTGCTGAGGGCGGCGTGGAGCGATTTGGCGGTGGTGTCGATGAGCGATGCGGTCGCGGCGCGCTTCGGGTCGGTTTCGGTATTTTCGAGTCGAGGGAGATAGTATCTGTCGAGATGTAAATTTGGGTCGCTGAACCGGTCGATGGTCGCGCCGCGTGCGGCGGCGTAGCTGCAAAGACCTATGTCGAGTTCCCCGGCAACGATGCGATTGAGGATGAGCGGGACATCGTCTTGGTCTTTGAAAGGTACGTGTGCGCGGAGAGTTCCTACAATGATCTCTGTCGGTCATGTAGAGCAAGGTCAGCACCGGACGGGCATAAGATTGGAGGAATGACAGATACCGAGGGCGCTCAGAGGGTTCATGTTGGCTCTTGCACAAGTGACTTCGACCAGGGCGCGCCCCAGGTCAAACTGAAAGTCGGAAAATCAGCATACTTGAGGATGATTTCCAGGGAAATCACCTGGAGCCGTGTTTGCAGTGTAACGGCTTCCAGGCGTTCGTCGAGTCTCTTATTTTGTTCTTTCTGTAGTTCGTCGTAACTCTTCCATAGCAATTTACTATAAAATTCACTGCTTGCTCGAAGGTCGGTGGTAGGACAGTGTGAGTCATTCCTTGCACACCTGGAAGCAACCTGAAGTGCTTGTCCGGCCCGCTCCACGAAAGGCCGAGCTGTAGTATAAGCTCGAGCCGCAAGCCTGAGGTTGCGGAGCATTGGTGAGTGCTGAGTGCGAGAGGGCGGTGAATAGGAGGCTGAGGTCAGCACGGGTGGCTATGAAAGGAAAATGATGTGCGTCACGTGCGTGACTTTCCGTTGCGTAGCGACGAGAACAACTTCGGTGATTCTCCCCCAAAGCATTGGGTCCTGTAATTGAAACAATGAGTCGTCGATGGCAATTAGGAAATCCAGTCCCTTCCAATATTGCTCCTGGGATCCTGTTGTGCGGCAAGTCCATTTTCCCGTCTCTCGAGGTGTAAAATGCCTTGTAAGTTGTCACTCGTTGGTCACTGAATTTATGTAATAAAATGAGCGCGGATCATTGAGCATTTTGCAGTTCATGGTCTATAGTCTGCATATAGAGAGACCTACACAGCCTGGACAACCTAATAGTCTGTCCTGAGGAGGCAAATCATAAACTGCCAGTGGAACAAACCTTTTTGAGAAGCCGGAATTCGACCCAAATACTTCAGATCATGATGCATTGCCCAGCAATGCCATGGAAACTTTGGAGCCGTACGTTTGTACAATTGTCAAGGAGGTGCAAATTTTGATTGAGCATTTTCAGAGCTTTATCGATGTTCGTTAGTTCGTCAGTTGGGCACCCTTCGTCAGTTGCGGCGATCCTCGTCAGTTGCCCGTCGATCCCGGGCGATCATCGTCAGTTTTTTGAGATGTCATTGTCAACGTAGATCTGCCGCAATGTCGAGATGCTGTAAAGCCGCCGCCGCAGGCTTGGCCATCGTCGGCTCCGCTGTTCTGCTCACCGTCGAGCGGTCACATGACGCTGCCCAGGCAAGGCGTAGCAATGCATTGAAAAAACGCGTCTTTCGCGTACAGGAGGATCTTCGAAGCGTGACTTTTGTACATGGCGTGTGATTCATCTCGTTGAATCTGTTGCATGAAATGAACTAGATTAAAGCACAATGTAGCTATAAGGGAGTCGTCAATGCACCGTTGTACACCGCCTGTATATGTACCTTCCAGCTTGAATTACTCGCCTTGAATTTGAAGTTAAGCCCTGAAATTTTGTGAGCTTCATTGAAGGATGGTACTTTGTCCGAATGTGCTATAAGGTTGGATGCAACATCGTTGAGCCATACAACACTCAATCAAGTGAGCGACACGGTGCCTGAAGATTTACAGCGAGGTATCGCATCCATGGAGTGTTTTTTCTAAGACGGTGCAAGCTGTGCAACAAGAAAAACGGGGGGCAGAGTCACTTAGACGATTCAATTCTGGACAACAAGAACACTATTTTTTAATCGGACTCTGATGACAACAAAGGTTCATAATCTTCATAGAGTTCATGGAACTCCTCCGGATATTCGCGCGCAAACTCCCGCGCCGACAGGTTTCTTCCATCCTGCATCGCGACGCCCCACCTCAAATGCAACACTTTCTTCTGCTTCTTAGGAGGAGCTGCCTCCGAGGGCACATCCGCACCACGTTGACGCTTTCCCCGCGTAGGTCTTGCGGAAGGCGTGGCATCTGCGCTAGCGACGGCGGAGGCACCGGGAGTTGATTTGGAAATGCGCGAAGAGGCTCGTAATGGACGCGCGCGCAGCGGCACCACCACGGACTCGACAGGCGACGCTTGGGAGATGCGGGAACGGGTGAGGCTGGAGGCGAAGGCACGGGTGTCGGGACAGGACAAATAGGCCGGGCAGCAACGGTGGCCTCCGCTGGGGTCGATGTCGCCGCTGACGCACGGGTCTGCGGCTTGGTTTGTAGAACACGCGCGTACGGCCTGACGAGTTGGTCTACGGCGACGTTTAGCAGTGGTAACAACTTTGAAGTTATAGCTGAATGCCAGCGCTGTCTCCGCCTCGGATACTTGCTGCTTCAGAGTTTGGACGAGTTCACGAGCAGCCACTGACATGTCATGGGAAGAGGCGGAGGAGGCGCAATCAGAAGTTTCGTTAATTCTGGTAAGACAGATCCATGCTTAGCGCATCAATTCCTCCGACAGGAGGAATTGAAGCTTTACAAAATACCACAGTAACGGATCCGGAACTTGTTTAGAACCGAACCACTATCGACGCGGAATGTACAGAGAAACTGGGAGCGGCACCATATATAACACTTGGAATTTCATGACCAAGCAGGGGCGAGGACAATCTTCTGTACAGTACATTAACTGGGGCGCGGCCAGCGCGAACATAGACTGGCTTGGCGCCGTAACTTGCTTCTCTTCCATGTTCCGTGTAGTACGCGTGTAGTGTCTAGACAACAGGAATCGAAGTTCCGTGCTCAATGCAAACGACTAGCCGAGCGCTTGATGTTAGACAAGTATAACAGATGGGATAGGACAGTTGTCACAATTTTCAGACTCGGAGCTTCGCCATGAGGAAGATTTTTCATATCTTTACTCTTCGAAGATGTGCTTATGCGCTGGGCGACAAACGAAATATCACGGACAGCACCGTGATTCTTTGGATAGTTTGGCCGCGTCTAAACTGCCATGCCAGATTTTGAACACTATTCCTGTTGGACTATAGGCCCGGCTTGCCATATAGCCGGGGCCCGGACCCTGACCTATGATCACAGACACTGGACCCTGTATTTACTCCATACATACATATAGCGTGTATGGCTTGAGACGTACCTCAGTCGTTCACTCTGAAGTGCCCGGCTGAGGTATGTTCTCTTGCTTACTTTATCACTACTCAGAACTCACGTACTTTGTTAGTACTTACTTCGTATATTAGGTACTCAATTCAGTCGTTCACTCTGAAGTGCCCGGCTGAGTACTTACTTCGTATATTAGGTTATGGGCCCCGCCCGCGCCTGAATTTAAACGACTCACTCAGCCCTACGCAATAAAACTATTGTTCGACTCAAAAGATTTGCATATACTGTGCTATACGACATGGCTTCGTCCTTGCCCAACGTGCCGATTCTTCCCGATGCCGAGAAGTTCGATGGCACAAAATGGCCGACCTGGAAGCCTAAAATGACTGCCCAGTCGACACTCCGTGGATTGCACGGATACTATGACAATACCATACCTAAGCCTTCCCCTGTTCCATTCACTACACCTCCCGACCCTACCCCTATCTACTCGAATAATCCATCGCTCGAGGAGTGGATCCATCGGGATGG